CGGAGGGTACTGGATCTGCTCTGGTACAAGGTCGAGCAAAGAGTCGCCTGGAAGAGGTGGGAGAAGAAATGGGCGACGACGGGGCAGGCTCACTTCGCGGGGAAGAGGGAGCAGAGGCGGACGTCGATGAGGAGGACTACGACCTGCAGAGCCACTGGGACATGCTCAACTATTTGCCTGCCGCGCTCAGGCACCCTTTCGACTACGTCGTGGCCACCATGCTGGCCGACCATTTGCGCGAAGAGCGCGACCGTAAGGAGCATCGGAAGGAGCGACTGGCAGCACTGGGAAACCGGCTGCTGGGAACAAGTCAGGGCCAGGAGGCGGAGGCGGAGGAAGAAGTCGAAATGCTGCAGAAGGAGGAGGAGAATCACGAAAGGAGCATGGTCAGGTTCCTGCAGAAGATGGTGGAGGGCCGGCTGACACGCACCCTCCTCCGGACGGTGCAAGACATCGACAACGAGTTCCGGGGGCCCGAGTGCTTCCCGGCGACGGTGGGCGTCCACCGGCAGTCGACTACGCCGGCCTTGGAGTTCGTCAAGGTCGTGTGCGGCCTTCTCAAGCTGGACTCGGCCGTGGAGGAACAAGTGGTGGTCCTTCGCCGGCAGCTCCTGGCCCAGCTTGGCGCGAAAGAGTTCTCGGAGCAGGGTCTCTCCGCGGACTACTGCCGTTCTTTCGTGGTGCCCGACCTTATCTGCGCCTTCTGCAGCCATTGCCGGGACTTGGACTTGTGCCGCGACGAACAGCTCTTGAGCGAGGACCCGGACCGGTGGTGGCGCTGTCCCCATTGCGCGAACCGTTACGACGTGGACCGCGTGGAGCAGCTTCTCATCACAGCGGTCGAGCGACAGGTCACTCGGTACGCCCTCCAGGATCTTCGGTGCGTGAACTGCCGACGCGTAAGCACTTTATCCATGAGCGACGTTTGTAAATGCTCAGGCCGGTTGGTCGGCGACGAGAAGCCGTCCGAATTCCAGGACCTCATGGCGACACTTCGTCGCATAGCTCTCCAGTACTCGCTCGCGGGGCTGAAGGAAGCCGTAGATTTCGCTTTGCGCATTGCCCCAGATACCGAGATAAAACATGATCTTGATGATTTACAACATCAATTTCAGCAGCAACAGCCTTTCGTCTCCAACTGAAAAAGTCGACCCGGAGGCACGATCAACTGTTGGCAAGATCTTTTATGAGCAGGTATTCGATAGGACCACGAGTCAAAAATAGTATGAAGCAGTGCGATACAAGGCATGAAAGAAATTATCTAGAAAAACGTTAAGAACGCGACACAACTACGAATTTTCATGGCCCATATTATGGGAAGGAAACCCAGGGATCGAGTCTGATGCATCCCCGGCTGCTACCACCACAAGGCTCTTAGATCCATCATCTCCTCCTTGACGAACGGCAGACGTTGTTTCTCATGCTTTCACACACTACCCTCAATAATTGTGTTCCTTTAAGAGTAAGATGGAACATACTGAAGAAAAATAAGTCCATGGTAGCGCTCTGCGATGAAGTGCAGCGGCGATCGGAGGGACGTTAGACTAGAGGGGGGGGGGGGGGGGGGG